GCCCTTACACTGGTGGAGTTTTCTTGGTTACCATCCATTTCCCACCAGATTACCCCTTCAAGCCACCAAAGGTGTGTTTCCATCTCTTGTCATTCCTTAGGTGCACATACTTAAGTGCCTGTGATTCAAAATTTGAACTGGAATCTCTGCAGGATGGTCAAATAAGTTTTTCAAAAGGTTTTTAAGAACAAACAATACTTAAATAGAGATGAAAAACCCATAATCATGGCTGCTCATGATATTAAGATAAATGTTACTGTTACTTATGAACATGTCAACATGTGATAGATAGTTTTGTGATTAAGATAGTGAAATAAACTAGCAAGAAAAATATAGGTGAATAAAAATTTGGTTCAAACTCAATACATTTATTTTAAGGAATTGCTGCATATTGATTAAAAATGAGCAAAATACATGAATAAAACTATTCTTGTTTTATCCTAATAACAGGACTAATGTGTATTCTTGTTCTAATAAACATCTTCATTTAAGAGTAAATGCCAATACGAGTCATGTTTTAAGAAAAATCAATGGTGGGCCTATTGGAACGAATGACTTATGTTTTAGAATTTTAGTCCTTTTAATGGAACTTGCTCATTTATTTTCCATATATGTTCATATTCATTTTACTTTATCTGTTTATATTATGTATAGAGATCAAGAACTCTAAACAAATTAATCTTTAGATTCAAATTATTAAACTTGCAGGTGGCTTTCAAGACAAAAGTTTTCCACCCAAACATTAACAGCAACGGGAGTATATGCCTTGACATCTTGAAGGAGCAGTGGAGCCCTGCGCTCACAATTTCCAAGGTTTATTTATAATACCACACAGACTTGTGTGCGAGTGAATTTCTATTTGTACAAACATCACACAGATGTATGCTCAATTGAATATTGATGCACAATATTGGATGAGAAGGCCCAAACAGCTTCCTTTTCTATATATAAAAGCCTAAATAGTGGTCACAACTTACAATATTGGTTTGCTCTAGTAAGACAATCTTGCAATGCTAAATAATATAACCATATTGTTGTTATATTAAGCCATTTCACATCCAAGAATACTAGCTTTGGTCTTAAAGTCCTAAAGAGCTGATATTTTAGATGGAATCTAAAGTCTTATTAATATATGGTGTCGTATAGATTTCATTCAGTGAAAATTTATTTTGAAATTGTAGGTCCTGCTTTCGATCTGCTCTCTCTTGACGGACCCGAACCCTGATGATCCCTTGGTACCAGAAATTGCACAGATGTACAAGATCGACAGGAACAAATATGAGACTACAGCAAGGAGCTGGACTCAGAAGTATGCCATGGGCTAAGCTCTACTTCAAGTAGATCTGGCCCTTGCATCTTATTTTAAGTATTTGATCATCATCGACTCTTTTAGTTGTTTAATTTAATGGGAATGAAGAAGTCTGTGTCCTAAGTGCGATTAAACATTCCTTTGTATTGTGATCTGTGAAAAACCCAGAGGAATTACTTTCTCCCAATTACTTGCTATTTGCTAATGGTAGTCTTGCTCCTTAAGGTAAAATAGAAATCTGGGCAGCTTCTTGAATTTGTTTTCAAGAAGAGCCTAGAATCCTGGATTTGACTGGAGAAGTTGTAACTAGGGTGGACTGGACCAGTTCCGGTTCATAACCAGCTATGAAATAATAATCACTTAAGATACCAGTGTAACTTGATGGACAACTCAAACTTATTGGACTAACGAATGGGCTCTGCCCAACTTGCTTGGGACTCAGGAGTCCTACGAATCAATGCCTAGCCCATTAGTCCATTACCATGTCAACATTTCAGTAGTGAACTAAGAGGCGGTGGTCAAGCAGAGGGATGGACATTGGACTGGGATGGGCCTGCCCGCCTTGCTGCCCAGCCCGGCCCGACATTCTTTAGATCTGGCCTGGCCCGGTTGTCTCGGACCGGTACCAGGCCTGGGACCCGGCCAGGTGGAAGCAGGCGGGCATGAAGCTCAGCTTTTTGTGGACCGGCCAAATGGTCAACAACTTCAAAAAATATATTTTTGCTTTAAATCCTTCAAAACAAAAAAGGCCTGACCTAACTGGTTGACCCGGTCCCGGACCGAAGCTTGACCGGGTAGTCTGACCCGACCTGGTACCTGTAGAAACCCGGGCTGGTACCAGGCCCAAAATCTTTAAAACAGAAGGCCGCCCAGTGCCGTCCCGAAGCCCTGTCCAGTCCCATACTCCCATCCCATTCCACCCCTACTCAAGCATACAGCTCATTAGTGGTGGACTGAACCGGGCCGGTTCGGGCCTCGGTTCAGTAATAGCAGGCCCGAGCCCGAACCGGGGTAGGGCGGTCCCGGGTCCGGTTCCGGGCCGGACCGGGCCGGTCGGGCTACCCGGTTTAATTTTTTTTTCTTTCCTTTCTTCCCCCCCCCCACCCCCCACCCCCCCAAACCCCCCCAAACCGGCCTAAACAGCTAGCCAAAGCCCAACAGCCCAAAAAAATGAAAAAAATTAAAAAAAAAAAAGATTTGGCCCGGGCCCGGGCCCGAACCGGCCGGGCCGGGCCGTCAAAACCATGAACCGAGCCCGGAACCCGCCCCACCCCTGGGCCTCCGGCCCGAACCGGACCCGGAAAACCGGGCCGGGCCCGCACAGTAGCGGGTCGGGCCGGTCCCGGGCCGGGCGGCCCGAACCGAGGCCATGCCTGCAGCTCATCGGCCAGTCTGTTTTACAAGTGCTAGTTGCTTGTGAAAAGCGTGCCTTTAGGAAGATCGGTCCTTTACCCGGTCATTATTTGTGCCTTGTGCTTCAATTGACGGTGGGAATGTGCACGGGTCCATTCGGAACTGAATCGGTTTATCTGGTTCAAAGCTGGAACCAGTTGAAAAATCGGTTCTTATATTATTAACCTTTTCCTTTACTAGAATTATAAAACTCATACTTCAGGAATGCTGGAGCATTTATTCTTAATATTATTTTTATTGTTGCTCTTATTTATTTTCATTAGCTTTAAAGAGCAAAGATTAATCCAACTTTTCCCTAATTTCAAGTTTTAACGTTGTAAAAGATGAATGGATATAACATTAGAATTAATTTAAAGTATGGTTGGACTCGGACCTGGGCCCGGCCGGGCCTCGGTTCATGAAAGGGGAGGCCCGGAACCGACCCGGGTAACCCCCGGGTCCGGGTCGGGCCGGGCCTCGGTTCAATTTATATATATATTTTTTGGCTTTTCCTAATTAACCCCCAACCCCCCCCCCCCCACCACCACCACCCCCAAACCACCCCAAACCACCTTAAAAAAAAAGAAAAAAAAAAGTGGCCAGGACCGGGCCCGAACCGGCCGGGCCGGTTTACCTTTTGAGGGGCCCGAGCCCGGACCAGAACCCCAGCGGGTCGGGCCTACCCAGACTGGTCCCTGGCCGGGCCGGTTCAAACAGTAACCGGTTCGGGCCGGTTCTGGGGTAGGCCGCCTGGCCCGAGTCCAGGCCTAATTTAAAGTATAGAAAACCAATTATTTCCGGTTCAAACTGAAACCGGACTGGAAATCTCAATTGCAATGTTTCATATCCAAAATCAGACCGGATGTCATTCTGGATTCTAGTTTCGTTTTGACCCTCTCTAGTTTTCTGATAGGGACGGTTTGAGCACTCTCTTACTTGACGGCAGTCCACCCAGCAAAACAAATCACAATCGAGGAATGGATGCGCCACAAAATGGGCAAACAGCAAGCGAGTCATCTGATCTGTTGATCTATTTAAAAAAAAAACAAGCTAAGATTCTCTTTTGTCGGTGAGCCTTTTCCGAAAGCATAGCCAACTAGACAACTTCTCCAAACGAAAGACATCCTCATTCCTCAGAGAAGTTATTCTCGACAAGTCATAAACCTTCCTGGAAGAGAATTTTTAATTAACATGAGGATCAAGAAATAGCCACTCATTAATACTCCGTATATATTAAGCCAACCATCAAAAGCTGCAAATTATAAGATTCACAGAAAATGGTCAACTTTTTTCAAAAGTAGTACGAGTATATGAAAATAAAACTGGTTCTAACTTCTAACAAAGATCTAAAATAGATTTCTTTATTATTTTTATCAAAAAACAAAAATAGGTTTCTTATGTTAGCCCACTTTTTTATTTATTCCCCCCCAAATCTTCTCCCATCCTCAGTTTCCCAACTATTTTGCACCAATTAAACTTTCTCTAGCATTTCCCGGGATCTAGGCCCAAATGTATCCTAGCATAGTAGCATGGTATGATTGGTATCACACCTAGACGAGGTCAGCCCAATATACCAACAATGTACTCCCTCTGTCCATAAATAAACTTCCAACTTTCCTTTTCCGCCCGTCCCAATTAAAATTTCCACTTTCCCTTTTTTGACCAGAATTTGTGGTTCACAACCATTCTTACACATTTCTCTCTCCTCTGCACAATTCTCCACCACACAATACCCACTATCTTAAACTAGGGCTGGACTCGGTTCGGGCCGGGCCCGGTTCGGGCCTTGAACCGGCCGGGCCTCGGTTCACCAAAAGGACGGCCCGGACCCGAACCGGCGGTGACCGGTTCCGGGCCGGTTCCGGGCCAGACCGGGCCGGTTCCGGGCCAGACCGGGCCGGTTCCGGGCCGGTTCACCCGCCCTTTTTTTTTTTTTTTGATTTTTTGGCTTCTCTTATTTAACCCCCTACCCCTCCCCCTCAACCCCAAACCACCTCAAATTGTCCAAAATACCTAATCCAACCCAAAAATAAAAAAAAGTTCAAAAAAAAATAAAAAAAAATTAATTCCGGCCCGGACCGGACCCTAACCGGCCGGGCCGGTTCACCAAATGGAGGGCCCGGGCCCGGAACCGGTATTCACCGGGCCGGTTCGACCCGAACCGCCGGTGGACCGGGCCACCGGGCCGGGCCGGTTGCTACAGTGGGCGGGCCGGGCCGGTTCCGGGTCGGGCCGCCCGGCCCAAGTCCAGCACTATCTTAAACTGTGTGACAAACCTATTTGGAAGTTTTATTAGGGACGGAAGGGAGTATCAATTTACTATTTCTGCAATCTCAGCTTAACTATCGGCATATTTTTCATAAAACATTACCAGTAGAGATGTAAGAGTGGAAGATACAAAGTATCCCTATCAAGTATTAACTGGAGCATGGAACGAAAGAAAAGGCTACAATTTGCAACACTGCAATAACTTTTCAGACAAATTAGAACACCCTCGGCTACAACTCTCCTCTGTGCATGTCTGCATTGCTCAATGGCTCAGCATGTATCATCTTTCATATCTCCCTTCCTCTTCTACTCACTTTCTTTCACCTTCAGGCAGTCCATGTTTCATTTTAACCGCAAGGGTACAGTCGCATAAAGGGGGGATTTGGGCTCACAAAGCCTAACGGCCACACAGTGGGACTGCTCTTAGAGTGTATGTGGACCAGAATCTATTGGCAGGTTGTCACGGAGGTCAGGTGACCATCACGGTCAAGAGGGGAGAGTGAGTGGTAGCAGGCTTTTGATTGCTTTTGGGGTTCTGAGCCTGGGGATCAAGATTTCTTCTGGGTTTAAGTAAGGTATTGGAGTAGTATATGGAAGCAATTTGCACGAAGTGGAAGAATAAATAGCGGCAGCAACAGAGAGGACGAAGCCAGTGGGATGAGGAGCTTTTTGTGGTAGGAAAATGTTGCTGAAATCAAGGAGAGAATCTGTACCATCAAACAAATTACTTAACTCAAATGAAGTTATACAGGTGTGCCTGGTATGAGACCAATAATATGGAATATCAGAGAAATGCCCAAGCAAAGATAGGTTAAAAATTGATTTAGTTAAGTGATACACATTTTGTATATACTCAATAAGGACTTTTAACAATTCTAAAATATTACTCCGTAGTTGTCTTCATTTAGTCCAAAAAGATTTCTACATAATTAATAACAACATATTCAAATTTTGCAATGAAAACTATCTGAGTTGAAAATAGCCAAATTACAATCAACGGTGTGACAAAAATACCTGAAAGCCGTTGATCAGTGTCAGAGATGAAGTTGGTAGCTTTCCAAACATCTCCTCCTACCCCACCTCCTTCTCCATGGCATCTCGAGACTCCCTTGCTAAGCACTATAGAGAATGTTAGGGATGACTTGTTCTCAAATAATAAGTGGTCTCCATAGGATAGAAATTACTTTTACTTTAAAAAGAATCATTTAACTAGGAAATGAAAATGTGTTTTTCATTCAAAATGAACAAAACTTCTTATGCTTATTTAACAAGCACTGGATGAAAACTTTTATTAAAAAATAGCGCTTAAATGAGAACCACTTCTTATATAACAGAACTTGTAACATCAGGCATCCCAAAAAGGCCTGTAGCTTTATACAGCAGAACAAGTCATGATGTTCGAGTATGGCTAGGTGGAGACAATTCGCCTTTCAGAAGAAGCTCCCCATCCAAGAATCTCACACTGCATTCTTCTTCTTCTTCTTGGTAGCTAAACAAACCATCCTTTGCATCATCATCAAATGGTTCCCTATCCGGGAGTAAAAATCCATCCTCTTTATTAGGTTTATAGTCTTTACCCCTCCATACCACAATCTGCTCCTTATCAAACGTTACCAGGATACAAGGAACAAGATCCTGCCTCCACATCGACACAATGGTATCAGAGTTCAGAACACTGTTAAATTTGATGAAATTTGAAGGAAAAGCATTTGGTAACATCTATATCAGCCAAGTAATGAAAATAATATGTTGGATAAGGCTACTAAACAGGCCAAGAAGTGAAAAAAATTAACAAATATAACTATATTGTCCATGCTATGGTACAGTCGACATATAGTTCCATACTGACAAGAAAACTTCTCATTCAATAAAGACTATCCCAGGAATATCACATTTCACTTTCCACACAAGCTTCTAAAAGTTACGTCTCACCACCCCCCCTCCCCCTTCTTCCCTCCGCACACACACACAAAAAACCTCTACAATTGGATTCCCTAGTTTGGAATGAAAATAAGACCACTTTCTGTGGAAAGTCGAAAATTGTTTCATTGGTCAAGGAGTTAGTCAAGCTCTACTTTTTTGTTTTCCAAAAAAAGTAACACTTTCTAAGGTAGCCAAACAAGCTGTAATAGTTAAATCAAACGTAACCCTTAATTTGCAGCCGATTTTCTTGTAATCACTCCTCGGGAGCCCTCTGCAATCAATTCTCACCAACTCATCCGTCAAAAAAGAATCCCGAACCATGGGTACAAGGCTAGCATAATAGCCATTTTTAGCTGTGCATTGAACCCTACACGTTGTTAGAGACAATACACACTAAAATCTTAAAACACCTAATGGGAGTAAGAAATTATAAAATTTTACCGAGTTTGGTCAAAACGGGGATTGCTAATCCTCTTCTCCTCATTTCCTTGGTTTCCTCGATACTCAAGCCATCAATAGTAGTTTTTATAAGCCTTGGATAGACAGGCTCATGAGGTTTCCACAGCATTAATGGAATCTCTGGCCTCTTCTTCCGGTCATAATTCCTCCCTCTGTAGAGCACAATAAAACCTCCATGTCTGTGGATAATCTTACCAAACGTCTTTTCCTGGAATACATCACATAGAAAACGTTCAGTGATAAATAATGACATATACCACACAAATTACACTGTCAAAACCTTCTTGCAAGTAATACCAGTTACCACTGTTAGTGGTGAAAAAACTCGGGTCAAGATGGACGAGATCAGACCAAATAAGGATCAGACCAAACTGGAACAAGAATAATGTTATACGGCTCTGATAGTAGATCCACAATTTTTTAAGATATGGGTTCGGAAGTAGCCTGGTCTAAACCGGAATAAACCAGTTCAGACCAGTTGGGCTGGAAATAGAAAATAAATTGCTAACTTTTATATTTTTCTCTAACATATACTCCGTATTTGGTGTATGCATCCTTTAGACCTTACCTTTTTCCCACTTCATGTACAGATTCACACAAGCTATTTTTAAATATTAAGACATAACCAATATTATTTTCTAACAATACAAATATAAAAATCAGTTCTGGTCCGGTCTTGAATCCGAAAAATACAAGCCAGGTATGCCGTTAACACTTTTAAGACTCTGTTCCGGTCCGGTGTTCAATCGCTGATCAGTCCTATGTGGCTAATTTTTGGAAAAATAAACAGCAGATACAACTTTCATGCATGCCAAGGGAATCCTATAAGAAAACTATTAAATTTACAATTGCAGAATAAGGTTATAGAATAATAAAGTGAGGAAATATATGAAAGAGAGGGGATACCTCCAAGTGAGAGCACAAGTTCTTCATATTAACGGTGGGAACCCCCATACACTTTATCCTGACAGCCTCCACATGTTTCCAGTGATTATGAATAACACTCAGCATATTGTGTGTTAATCCATCTCTACCTACCAAATCAAGACAACAAGTAAAGTTAACTTCTTGGGCAACTCATTCATGTATATACACTCCATCTAAAGACTTAAGCTTCCTAACTGCACACTTCATCCAAGCCTTTGACAATACCATTGTGCACTTATGGTATTAGTGTAACTTAGACTTCAGTTAAAGTGATTTGAAGGTTGATTGTAGATAACCCCAAATCAGTGGGAACAGGAGTTCACACCTAACTAGGTGGTGTAAGGAAAATTCCTGACAATCTCCTAACTCTTGAGGGCTTGTTTGGTTCGGAATATTGGAGGGGACGGGAGGGTGGTATTTATTCTTAATGGCTTAAATATGTGTTTAGTACCACAAATATAGTGCTTTTGTTGTATGACCATGTATCTTTGTTTTGTTTTAACCCCTATAGTTTATGCTGATTTTTTAGACCCTCATGGATCCTAGCAACCTCCATTTGAAAACAAAACGAGATCTTTTAAGACCAATTTTTAAAACGTGAATGATTAATTTCACTTTGTTTTAACTCCACCATCATTCTTTAAAAATTTATAAAACTGAAAATAGTTATGAATAAAGTTTTAGACAGGAGTGGCAGAAGTGGTGGCAGAAGTGGTGGCAGAAACTATGGTTATTGGAAAGCTTTTTTATTTTTTATTTTTAATTATAAACAGACTTAAGAATTCATTAAGGGTGATTTTGTCAAATGCATTTTTAGTGCTATGAAACATGGAAGTCCTACTTGGACATTTCTTCATTGTTTTCAGTTCTATTTAGGGAATTAACTGTAACATTTACAGGGACTAAAATCATGTTTAAGTATTTTTCAAAGTATTCTTACATTTTCATAGTTGGAACTTGGGAATAAAGTGAAGGCGAAAAATTATATAGATATACACTATTTAACTAACTAAGATCAACTAAGAAAGATGTATTAGTAGAACCAAAATCAGTCTTTTCATCTACTCCAAAATCCCCAATCAATCTAACCTTAAGGCTGTGTTAAAAAGAATTTATGGATAGTTTTTACTGCGGAATTTAAGAAAAGAAAATCAAATGTTAGTAAAAAAAAATGAATTTTAAATTTTTAACATAGATATTTACCCCCTGAACTCTATATATATATACGGAGTATAATAGAAATATATAAAAACAAATTTAGTTTTGAGCAAATATCTAAACACGACTTATTGTTAGAACCAAATATTTAACTGTGCTCAAATCTCATACTCCGTACCATTTCCAATTTCCCATCTTTTTGCATCTAATTCACTAACCCTATCATTTTCTAGATTGTAAACATTCCTGACTTTTTTTTATCACAAACATGGCACTGGGGTAAATGAAACTGAATGAAACATGGTACCACACCCAAGCTTGGCCAGTTCCATTACACTATCCGTGTTATCAATATATCATTTCTGCATTCTCAACTCAATTATCAATATGTGTTGCAGAAACCATTACAAGTAGCAGGTTATAAACTGGCAGACAGAAAAACCCATAAAAACTGAAACTTTAAGCTAAAAGACTACATTTTTAAGGCAGAGGAGAGAGTAATTGGAATACCCAAATTGATTTGCCGCTTAGTTTTGTGCCTCTGACATCTCTCAGCAAGAGCCTTCCTCTCTGCGCTGCTCAATGGCTCCCCTTGTATTTTCTCCCACATCCTCCTCCTCTTCTCCTCCAGCTTTCTCTCATCTTCCGGCGATCCCCGCTTCGGGTCAACCACAGGGGCGCAGACGCCGGTCCATACCCTGTCTAATCGGCCTGGACCGAAAGGGGAGTATTTGGGCTCACGAAGCCCAATAGGCCGCACAGTAGGGCTGCTCTCGGAGTAGCTGAAACGGAAGTCGAACGGCAGGTTGTTGACGGAGGTCGGAGGGCCGTCACGGTCGAGGGAGGAGGGTGGGCGGTAGCGGGGTTTAGGTGGCTTTTGGGGTTTCGGGTCTGAGAGATTAGGGCTTCTTGTGGGTTTAAGAGAGGGTGGGGGAGTGAAGGTGTATTTAGAATGCAGTTTGGAGGAAGCGGAGGGAGAATGAGCCGTTGCCGCGGCTGAGAGGAAGTTGCGGGTAGAAGAGAACAGTGGGGGGAGAAGCTTTTTGCGGCGGGAGAACTTGTTGGCGACAAAGCAGAGCATCTTCCCCTCAGATCAAAATGAAAGAAATCACGGCGACTCCCTTGTAAACAGACTACGGTAAAACGCACATGATGCCCGTTCTGAACAGGACAGTTTTCTCTCGTAAACAAAATCTTACTGCATCTGGCCAACAACTTCTAAACCTTAATTACAAAAGATACCTTAATTCCAAAAGATATTGATATCAACTAACATGAATTTGATACATAATATCATCAAAAGGAAAAACATAACTAAAAAAAGTTAAGCTATTACTATCCCCGTTTTTTAATTCTTGCAACAGTTGACTTTCACGTTTGACAACGCACAACTTTGATTGTAATTATGTTTAATTGTGTATTTTTTATTATATATGTAGAAAATCGTGATCAAAATAAGATCTGTGAATAGTGTAAAAATCACAATTTTGCAAGAATTAAAGGACGGATGAAGTATAAAAAGGATAATAATAAAAGAGATGAATATACATATAAATGATAAAATAAAAAAGATAAAAATAATATTTAAATATAAGGATAAAGGATAAAAAATATGAAGAAAAAAGGTGGGAAAAGATTATACAAGATCACTCTTCCACACGAATACTCGTCCTCCACTTTACTCTCTCCAAAGTTATACACTCATCCAATCCAAGAAGAAGCATATCACTTCTGACTCCCCTAACCCAAGTCTGTTTGGGCCTTCCTCACCCTCTCTTCCATGCCTCTTCTCCACACATCTCAACTCGTTTGACAGGTGCATCATACGGTCTTCTATGCACATGACCAAACCACCGTAGGCGCGACTCCCGCATCTTATCTTCAATAGGTGTTACTCTCACCCTTTGTTTGATTGTCCCATTCCTCACGCGGTCCTTTCTAGTATGTCCACACATCCAACGCAGCATGCACATCTCTGCCACACTCATCTTTTGAATGTGACATTGTTTCACCGCCCAACACTCTGTGCCATACAGTAATGCAGGCCTAATTGTTGTCCTATAAAATTTACCCTTCAGCTTGGTCAGCATACCTCGATCGCATAGAAATTAATCCTAAGTCTCTGACGCACTCTTTCACTTCATCCACCATGTTCTGATTCTATGGGATACATCTCCATCTAACTCACCGTCCTACTGAATTATGGAGTCCAGGTAACGGAAAATATCACTGACCGGTATCTCCTCACCATATAGAGTAATTCCGGTATTATCACTGCTTCTACCTCCACCAAACTTGCACTCCATGTACTCTGTCTTGCTCCGACTTAGTCTGAAACCCTTGTTCTCCGATGTTTGATGTCATACTTCCAACTTTGCTTTAACACTTGATTGTGTTTCATCAATCCATACAAAATCGTCGGCAAACATCAATCCATACAATATCGTCGGCAAACATCATGCACCACGGTATTGTTGTTGTTGTTGTTGTTGTTGTTGTTCTTATTGTTATTATTATTGTTGTTATTATTGTTGTTATTATTATTGTTGTTGTTATTATTATTGTTGTTGTTATTATTATTATTATTGTATTGAAAAGAATAATAATATGGAGGAGTGTTTAGTTATAATATACTACGTACATGTCTGGCAGAAGACGAATACATATAACGTTAATTATAAGAATATAACAACAGAGGGAGTTGGTGCAGTGGTTTAAGCATACATGATTTCTATGCGTGGTTGTGGGTTCATTTCCCATAGCCCTCAACTTTTTATATGTACGAAGTACATATGGATATGCGACGTGGCATGAAAATGACTTGGAAATGGAATTTTTATTGTAGTGCTGACATGAAACGATACATATAACAGTGCAGTGGTTTAAGCCTACATGATTTCTATGCGTGGGCATGGGTTCGATTCCGATAGCCCTCAACTTTTTATATGTACGAAGTACGTATGGATATGTGACGTGGCATGAAAATGACTTGGAAATCGAAATTTTATTGTAGTCATGACATGGCACGATGACAGTGAAAAAACACCCCTATTTGGGGAATAAGTTTGATAGTATCTAGTTTGGGAAATAATATTGAAAACTACTCCTCTTAGGGAAAAAACTCACAAGTAATTCATGGAGACGTAAGCTTCAGACAGATCTAATGATGAGCTTAAGTAAATTCTGCTGGAGGCGTTGATAAAATTCTGAGCCCGGTGCGGCCGCTAGAGACATCGACAGTATAAGGGCAAGAGAGGAACTATAAAAAGTATTTTTATCTATACCGAAACTTGAGTGTGCAGTTAGCAAAATAGGGGTTGTAATTTAGGGATGACAACGGGGCAGGTTTGGGGCGGGGTTCACTCCCCCATCCCCCGCCCCATGTCTAAAAACTCCCCCCATCCCCGCCCCATCCCCCGTTACTCCCAGACCCATCCCATCCCGCCCCCACTGCCCCCACAGGTGCCCCGGGTGTCCCCACATATATTTTAATTATATCTTATTTGCGTATTTTTTAATTCATTTTATAGATAAACGAATATATACATAACTAAAAGAGTTAAAGTAGATAGTTTTGTGTTAGATAAAAGATGGTATCACTAATTTTTAATAATTCTTCAATTTAAATAAGTTCTATTAAAATAATAAAACTAAAAATATAAGTAAACTTGTTACAATCATGTATGCCACTCCAAATTTCTCATTACTTATAATACAAATATATATATACATGTGTGTGTGTTATTCACTCAACTTCTCATTTTTCAAACTCATATATGTCATTTATGATATTTTTTTTAATCATTACTTATTATTATTCTAATATAATATGTATGTTGTATTAGTTCATTAATCGTGACTAATAAACAGACATGCATGCATGTTGATCTATATGTATGTGTATGTGTTTGTTATATACTACATATAATTTAATTAAATATGTTTTATACATTATTTGATATATCTTTGTGTGTATATATGTCTGTTTGAGTATATATTTATAATGAGGACGAGGCTGATATGGGACGGGGCGGTTCAATCCCAGCCCCATCCTTCCCTTCCCCCGCGGGGCGGTTCCCCACGGGTCTCCACCCCCACTACCATCCTTAGATTGTATATAGAATTACCCAACGAAGAAAGGAGCAGGCCCAAGTAGGGGTGTAAAAGAATCAAATAATTTATACTCGGCTCGCGATTCGAATTCGTATAAGACGATTTGTATTCGAAAAATTCAAATACAAATACAAATAAGAATACTAAATTTGATTTGAATTGTTATCAAATACAAATATGAATATCATTATATTTGATTCGAATGTTAATCAAATATACTCGATTAATATTAGTGATAATATTAGTAATAATAATAATAATAGTAATAACACTATAATAAATTTTAAAAGTTAGCCATACCCTCTAAAGTGTAGCCCATATATACATTTAGGTATACAAATTCCAAGCCAATTTTTAATAAATCAGAAGTATCATAAGAAGTAAGGGTTGTAAACGAAACAAATGATTTTATTTTGATTCATGATTTGGATTCACAAATTATGATTTAAATTCGAAAGTATAGAATATATTCAATTATCAATTTATTTCACAAATTATATGTATAATTCGAAAATATTTATGTATAATAATCATAAAATTGATTCACTTCAGCATATTGTGCAAAACCCAAAAATGCATCGATCTATTAAATTTTAAGGAAAATGTAATGTTACAAACTAAATTCTAAAACGCATATTAAAGGAGTGTTTGAGATTGTTTAAAATAAGCACTTTTCAGCTTTTAACTTAAAAAAAGCTTAAAAAAAAGTGTTTGACAAATACAACTTCTAATTAAAAAAGCACTTTAAAGTCATAAATTAGAAGCAGGACATGGCAGCCCAGTCCAACCGCACAGGTCCAGGAATTCTGAAGGGCCCAAAAAAAAAACTACCTGGTAGTATTATAACCCAGCCCAAATGCTTCCTCCTACCTGTGCTCAACTTCCCTGTACCCAACGTCGTAACAGCGCCAAATTTCTACCTGCGCATTCCCCGACTAGGCCGCCGGCGCACTTGAAGATCTTGGAAATCAGAAGAAGCACGCTGGCCGCTGCTCTGGAGTGAATCCGTGAAAGACTTCGGAGGACGGCGAATGAGTTAAGGACTGAGCGTCGACCTCCATCACCTCCGCTACCAAGCGCCAGCGCAAGGCCCGCCACCGGACTCCGGTCAGTCCACTGATTTTCAGCTTTTCTGATTCACTTAGTTGCTATTTGCTAATTATTGGGAATTGTTGAATTATTGAATTGTTGATTTGTGTTGTCATTTGATGATTTGTGGAAGTTAAAGTAAATCATTATTTTAATTGATAATAAATGTTAAATGTGTTTAAAAATTAAAATCTAAGAAGGTGGTATAAATATATAATTAGGTAACTTTTATTTGATAAATTATAATTATACTAAAATAGTCTTTCATGTTTTCACCCTAAATTTAAACTGAATATTTTTTAAAAATTTATAAACATTTACAGGATTAGAGGAGAATTTTAAGAATTGTTAATAATTATTTTTTCATATGAATATCAATCCGGTCAACAAGAATTGCTTAGAGAGATTTTGCCAAAAGAAAAGATGGGGGCAACAAGAATTTTGAAATCTTTAAAAGAAATGAATTGTTTTCCAAAATGCTTTTATTGCGTACAGACAGGGGCGGACCGTATTACAGATCCAGGGGACAACCTCCCCCCAACAAAAAAAATTCTAGGGTATATATACACGAAAAATAATTTTCGTCCCTCAAAAAAATAATTTTCGCCCTCCAAAAAATATTTTGAACCCCCAAGACGGATTTCCTGGGTCCGCCCCTGCGTACAGAGTTTTGCTAACCATTCCAATTACTGTCGCCTCGGCAGAACGAAGTTTTTCCAAGTTGCTGAAGTCCTGCTTGTGGTCAACTATATCACAAGAGAGAATCAATGGATTGACATTGATATCAATAGAATGTGAAACACTCCAAGAGTTTGACATTGCAAGTTTGGTAGATGACTTTGCATCTAAATATGCTCGAAGAATGTCTCTTCTTAAATAAATTTTAAGTTATTAATGACTACTTTTATTTTTCTCACTACATTTATTAGTAATTTGTATTTTAAATTTTTAACACAATTTACTGGCATTGCAAGTTTGCAACTTGGAAAAAAACCCAAATTTTATTGTTGCACAGGGTCTACATTTTCTCAGGACCGGGTCTACATTTTCTCAAGACCGGCACTGCCACGAGCCCCCTACCGGTTTGGCCAGCCGCCCTGCCCCTTCTTGGGTTCTCAGTCCAGGTATCCAAGTTTCCAACAACCCCAACAGGCAGCAGCCTGCTAGCCTCACTCCTTCACGGAGTTCACCCCTTCACCGGAATCACTTCTTCAGCCTTCAGGTACTCCAACTTCCTTCTTCATTCCTTAACTCCATTATAAACATTAATATGATCATTTGATTAGATTTTTAATTAATTTCATTTGCAGTTGTTTAATGTTTAAAAAAGCTTGATTGTATTAATTCATTGAGCATAATTTATTAGAAAAGCTTGATTATTTAATTAAGCATTGAGCATAATGTATTAGGAACACTTGATTATTTAATTATTAAGTATTGAGCATAATATATTAACCATTATATTGGCATTATCGTGTTGTTGTTGTACCATGTAGACTGTTAGTGAGCTTGATTTGAGCTAATGAGATGGACATGGCTAGCTTTTCTGATGGAACAAGCGAAGATGAGAATTGTTTGGATGATCTAATTGACGATGAAAATTTGAGTACATATACATCTAGTGATATACCCAAATTGCAGTTTAGGTCAGTTTTGATTGCTGTAATTTCTTATAAATGCTACTGCGTATTTTGTTTTCTATTCATTTGTAACACAGTTCAAATTCTAAACTTAAAGGGTTGGATTCTTTTGGGTCATTGATTTTCAGGAAAGACATCTCTAAAGCAAAGTGGATTGATAAAGTAGGGATGGGTGAGATTATTGAGAGAAAGGGCCGTCTCTGGACAACCACAGGGATAGTTCGCAATGCAAAACTCTACAGTTCCGTTGAAGAGAGTTTGTATGTTTTAACATTTACTCTTTTTATGGAAACCATTAGGGAAGAGGGTAGACACTGTTTTCGGCTAGCCCATGTTTTCTTCTTATTTTTGTCAAACTCCAATGGACATAGAAATGACTTCTTATTATAACAATAATTATTTGGATGTTATGTTGTTACATTTGAAAGGATTATTATTTTATATTATCCCAAACTATCATCAAATTCACAAATGTATCCTATTCTTTCAGTTCTATAAAAAAGAGGCAAACTTTATCTTTTTCAACAGTTATGCTTTTCTTTTTTGTTTTTTTTCAAATTACACATTTTATCAATACCAATAAAATATAAGCAATACAATTTTGTAAACTTAAAACTAGAAAGAAGTGAAACAATGTGAAATATAAATATGATTTTGTTCTTAAGCTTTACTAATTCATCCATTGAAAGTGTAATTGTGAGAAAAGTTGAAGTTTGAGTCTTTTTTTAGTAAACGTGAAAGTATGGGATAGATTTGTGTATATGATGATAGTTGAGGATATATTTAACTAATAATCCTTTGAGTAATTAGTATTTTTGGCCCATTAGAGTTTGCCAAAAAAACTACGGGGTAGCTTACAAGGCTCCAGTTTTTTACCAAGCCTATAAAATTGACTTTTTTTTATAATAATAATAACTCGGATCTATTGATTCATTTTAGTCATTAAGCATTTCATATTTGAAAAGTAATTTTTGTTGCATAACCTGTTTGTTTTTACAGAATTTGATCCTTTTAAATCATGTTGCTTATTGTGTGCTACTGAAGTTGCTAAATATGATCTTTGCAGTCCTCTTCATAGAATATTTCTTTATTTTATGAGTATTTCATTCATAATTCAGCAATTCAATCAATATTAACTACAACTTTAGTAAATCCGGCCTAATTATTCCTTTCGTTTGTAAGAAATCATGTGCTTCATGTTGTTACATTGGGGAAACCATCAATGGTGAGTACTTCCTTTTGGTCACTATCTGCAGATATCTAATTGAAATTGGTGCTTTGAATCTCCTCAACCACAATGATGAATGCATATCTCTCAAGGACATGTATAACATGGTTACAAATGCAAAGAATGGATGTTCTTGGGAAGCTTTTGAAGCTTACAGACACTTGAAGTGCCTTGGATACATTCTTAGGCGCCATGGTGTTCCTTGGACTGTGAAGAGACCTAAAGTGAGCCCTGATACCAACCACGACACAACAGAAGTTGATTGCACATCAAATACAGAACTAGAAGACAGTCATATCATCTCTGAAGTGTTCACCAATATGGGCATTGGTGAGCTGAAACCAGTATTTGATGTTTACCCTCCTAATGCGAAATTCAGAAAATCTTTCCCGGGTGATCCCTGCTTTGTACTATGTTTTACCAGGTATGTGATTTTATATATTTATCTTCTAGCATTTGCTTTCAAGAGTTAAGTGAAAAGTTGACCCCAATATGTAGTGATAGATTGAGACTTTGTAATACATTCCATGGACACAGCATTGTGCTTAGTATAATACCTGCTGGTGACCGATATCCACATTGCATTGTGCTGTGCTATTATATTCCCTTTTTTTGGTTAGTTGGTTGAGTAATAGACTAATAGTGTTTGGTGAATAAACTAGCTGAATAACTCATTGTCAAGCATTATAGATTTATAGTTTCCATTAAAGAAATTGTGCCAATTTATTTGATTTTATATAGTTTCCGCATGCTACATTAGTCTAAATCTCACATATAATATGGGAGGTGGGGGATGGGATGTAATCACTGTTGAGTGTTGACTAACTTTTGGTTACATTGAAAACATCGACTTGAGGATTGCTTGAACTTTAAAGTCTTGATTCAATCTGTACATCTTGAGAATTTACAATTTTCGAACTCGTATCCCTGTGTTTATATTATTCTGATGAAAGTGAGGCATCTTTTTTTGCAGAGGATCCACACCATCCCAACAAGAGATCGAAAATCTCGAGAGACGCTGCCATGGCATTCCTTTAAAAATATGTGACGTTGAGCATGGGCGTGTCAGTTTCTTCTCCTTTGACAGAGTGGAGCTTCCTGCACTTCCTTGACATGTTTGCTGTAATTGTGGAGGTATGTGTTTTGGGATGAAAGCACCGATGAGCATGGAGAGTATTTACTCTCCAAAGCTACTATCTTCTTGAATATCAAAGCTACCATCAGTAAAAGGCAACCATGTACACTACGAGTCCTCACACAGCAAGGATGCGAGAAGGGACTCATCACCAGTAGGGTGTTCTTTCCGAGACCGGGCCAGTCCAGACCCCAAAATCTTGAATCACAGAATGGACTGCAGAATACCTAGTCCTGATCTGCTGGACAGGACGGGGTTGAATAAACCTTGACCATTATTAAGTTTATGGACAAAAACATGATAAAAGTTACTGTGTGTATAGTGTATACTGTTAGGAAAAGTAAAAAAATACAAAAAAAAACGTTAGAATTACTATAATGCAAAATTTAACATGTTCATGTTGTAAAATTACTATTATAGATATTAAAATAGGCACTCATGTTTTTATCCATTACTTGTATTTTAATAACATATTCAATTATTACAATATCCTGAAGTACTAAAAGTCGACAAAGTCGATAATATCTATGCATTTTAAAGTTGTGAGGTCCTGACTCCTGAGTTGTCGCGCATCGACCATATCCACAAACATTTCATTTTTTAAGAAATCTCAATATTTCGTTTAAATGTTTAATCATCAGTTCTACGTCAACATACCCCGTTCTTCAATTAAATATAAGCATATTAAAATAAACAGAATATGTGTTCTTTGTTGTATTCTAATCGGCCGCAGATGATTTTTATGCCTTGGGTCGAGTTGGACCTAAATCTCTTTTCCAAGGGTCATTTTTCCTATCTTGATTGGGTGGATAAGCCTAAGGTGGGTAGGGGTGGAGCCGGTTCGGGCCACCCGGCCCGTGACTCGGCCCAGCCCGCTACTGTGCGGGCCCGGGACTGGCCCGGCAATCCGGGACTGGGTGTTGACCCGAACCGGGGGGCTGGCTCGGGTTTGGTAAAAGGCGACCCGGCCTGGCCGAGTCGGTCCCGGGTCCAGGTCGCCAACGACTATTTTTAAAAAAACTTTTTTTTTCTCTTTTTGGTCCAAAGGAGCTGTTTGGCTAGGCACCCACTTCCCAAACGGCTATATAGCCGTTGGGTGGGTTGTAGGGGGATCCGGGCCTTTTGGGGGGAGGGTGGAGGGTGGGGGTGGGGTAAAAAAAACTATAAATACTTTTAATTCTAAACATTTTTCCACATATTTTCTCTCCAACTCTTCCTAAATCCTACTCTCTAATCATCTCCATCTTCATCTTCTCAAATTCTCTTATTCTTCATTATATTTTACTATTTAATACTTATACAATTATTATATCTACTTATATATATTAATTATCTACTTTTAAATGCATATATTATATTACTTATATTTCTTATCTACTTAATCTCTACTTATTATCTACTTATATCTACTTAATACATACATACTACATCTACTTAATATATACTTTATATATTAAAGTATTAAATATAAATGTATTACTCATATCCTATAGTAGTATACTTATATATTATCCAAGTATACTATAACATTATATTATATATTAGTTATACAATTCAATTTTATATTCATGTTGTTTGATTGTTTTTTACTCGACGTTCCTAATGCGGTTTATGTCTAAGTCGTTTAATTTTTTCTGGATAGCATGAGCGTTAAAATGTTTAAACAAAATCATTATTATTCTTGCTTAAAAATGAACAAGATGTCAACAAGTCATTATCAGTATTGTTTTAAATGTTTTTAGTGATAGTTTAAGGGAATTCCCTTAAATATGACTAAATTGAAGCTCATTTTAAAAAAGTGACAACTTTAACATATGGATAGTAATGTAATTAATAAGGTAGTGTATTGGGAAAACATGATGCCATTGTCTTATTTTTATGTCTCTCTCATATTTTTCTGTCAGTGACGATTGTCATTTCCTATCTCTGTAATATATCACTATCGTTGTGAAACATACAATTGTGATTGATGTAAAAATCTCTGACGACTTTATCCGGTGATTTTTTAAAATAAAACTCAAAAAAATGAAAAACAAATCATCATAACTTCCCTGACTTTTCAGTTGCGGTTTTTGGTGGCGGTTTTTGGCAGCGGGTGGGCAGGGCTAGACTGGGCGTAGAGATTGAATATAAATTACAAGAAGAAAAGGAAAACTAGTAACTTTTTTGTTTTGAAAGGGCATAGGTAATATTCTTTTCCTTTTCCCATTGTTTAAGCATCTCACTCAATGTCACTCTTATAAATTTATTTGGCATATAATAATATGTTGTATTGAAGCTTTAGTATGACACTATTTTGCCAATACCATATTTCAATTTCTTTAATCTAGAGTTTGGTGCAAGGCATGGTAACCTTTACCATATCAAACCACCCCACCTTGTGATATATCCTTGTATTTTATATGTTGTATAAATTATGTGCACAGACTCTTGTGTTTTAAAAAATAAGTCAAACCTTTTTGTGTTATAGTTAACCATGCACATAACACATTGAAGCATTAAATTTAGCAATTTAAAATCAATTATCTTTAAAGATGCAATTATTAAATTCGTTAAGATCTCTAAGTTATATGATTAAAAATACTAATCATTTTTTATTGGACAATAAAATTTGTTTTGTGCACATAATTAATAATAACACAAGGATATCGGATAGGGAGAATTTGACTTTGCACCCCATGTTTTGGTTAATATTGGACTTTGCACCCCATTTTCAAAATGATTAATATTTGTACCCTATTTCACTATATAATCATTTGACTTTGCACCCCACTCCTTCACAATTTTTTAGTTAATGGAGTTTGACACATGATTAATTACAACACAAGGGGATTTGACACATTTTTTAAATCACATGAGGCTAATGCGCCGAATTAGTATTTAACGAGGGGCTTTCATGCATTAAACCGATTAATTAATGCAAAAGGTTGTAGACTTTCTCGATCTTACAAGCTATTTACTTTAGTTTCTAAAAAAATCTTAAGTTAAAAATAAAACTCTTAAAATTTTGTTGTCTAAAACATAGGACTGCTTTTAGATGCTTTTTAAACAATATAAAAATTAGAAGATAAACATATATATAATCCCAAACTCTGATTCGTGACTTCCAATTATGCACTTTGTCAATGCATCTCTATTGGCCATAACAATCTCCTATCAAGTTTTCAATAACTATCCCAAGGCAAATGAAAGCACGAGAAAGAGGTAGAACCGTATTTGCATTTATGGTGAAGGCCGGATCATTTAGCCAGCAATTCCTCAAGCACCCAAACCGTACAAGCAAACACTTAGGGCCGATGGGTCATTGCATTCAGGTAGTGCTTGTTTAAATTTTTTGTAACTAAAATAAATGTTATTTTAAAAATGTTGGGTTTCTGGACCGGCTCAGACCTCAGTCACCTTAGCCCAAGGGCTTGCTCACCATTCACCACCAGAGGAGACCACAAGGGGAGAAGCAAGGGCATCTAGTCACAAACACTCAGTTTATCGGAGCCCAAACCCCCAACCAGTGACAGGACCACCCAGGAACGCACCGGTGAAGAAAACCCCAAAGAACTAACCCAGAGTGAAGCCCCAAACAGGACACCGAGGTATCACCGGAGGTAAGCCGGAGCTCAGACCAAGGCAATACACCGTACTCTCTCTCACTCTAGGATTAGGGCAACACACTCAGCAACTCTCTCAGAAGAGAGGAGAAAGAGAGTATAAATAGGTAGTTCCAGAAGGGTCTAGGACAAGCCAGATAAAGGGGTTCAACGGGCTGGGTTAAATGAGCACAAAGGAGGGGCGGATGGGCCAGACACCCAGACAGTCCACTTGGGCCTAAATGAGAAACCAACTCATTAAACAGGGAACCGGTTAAATGGGCTAAAGAGGAGGACCAATACCAACTCACAAAAAAATATGTCTTCTTAATTATAGTGAATAAAGTAGTAGCTTTTTACATAATAAATGCTGGATTTTTATTAAGATCGACCCGACACAAAAGCTTTACTTAAACTAAAGACAATTGAAACCTAGTGAAGTGTGAAAAGATAGAAATTGTGGAACGACATGAATGTATAAAATTCTTGTATAGCCAAAGACAATCTCCTATTTTGGGATGTCTCAATTTCTTTTTCCAGTTCTCTCTTTGAAAAGTTTTGTGTGACTAACATTCATTTACATTTTTCTTACTTAATCACAACTATATATTTCTATTTTATTCTCACTTTCTTAATAAAGATATTTGTACCTGTATTGTTTCAGTTCTAGACCAGACCTGACATAAACAAACCAGAACAGACTTAAACAGACCAGAACAGACTTAAACTGATCAAACCAGACCAGACATGACTTTCATAGTTATAAAACACACATAACCAAACATTTACCAGACCAAACCACATCATACCAAACTTAAACAGATCAGACTAACAAATTTCAGTTCAAGTAAAAACATCCCAAGCGTATCAAGTCAAACTGGAAAGTATTTTAAAATGTTTTGTTTTAGTTTCTCCACAGAGGTTGAATCCCCAAATCTCAAAGGCACCCCAGCCCATGCCCGGCCCAACAAGATATATGAGAGGTTGTAAATTATGGCGACACAATCAACCCAATGATAGTAAACCTTATACCAGCGTGCACTAGAATTATAGCTCAACATGAGTTGTAACCTTTACACGATTGTTGCGGGTTACATTTCTCAAAGTTTTTTATCCGATAAAATGTTTTGTTTTAGCATTGGAGAGTGATGCAGTGAGCAAAAGGCTAGTCTCGAGTCATCCATATTCCATAATCCATACTTTCTTCGTATGACGTCAGAACATATCAAAGAGAAGAATGGAGCTTGTCATCGATCTCCTTTTTCTCAGGTAGATAGTCGCCGTCGCCGATCTCCTTTTTCGATATATCTTTGCTGCCTTTTTAGTCATTGCCCTAGACGGCTCATCCTCACAGTCAAACTACACAGGAAGTACAGAGTACATATCGAAGAGAAGAATGGAGCTTGTCATCGAACCTTTCTAGACACCTAGCTGGCCGTCTACGCCCAGAAGGTAAAAATATATATACGGAAGAAGGAGCAATTAGATCACTAAGGTAAACCTCTAAGAGCAAATATGAGGACTAAGCTAATTTTAGGAGCAACAAAAAAACCTTTTTGATGAATTTATTGCTCCGTGTGTATGAGTATGTGTATGTATGTGTGTGTGTGTGTGTGTGTGTGTGTGTGTGTGTGTGTGTATGTATGTATGTATGTATGTATGTATGTATGTATGTATGTATGTATGTATGTATGTATGTATGTATGTATGTTATGTATGTATTGTTAAACCCGTTTGGGCTTAGTACATATTTGTATAGTTTTTTTATTTTATTAATTGGGCCAAGGGCTCTATTGTGTATATTTACTTGTATAAATATCCCTATACTAGTTAATACAATAAAAGGGAAAATATTTATTCCAAAATAAACCAATCGGCCAACATGGTATCAGAGCACTAATTGGCTCGACGTACGTATCTT